AAAAATAAGCAAAGCCTTCTTCTCACAGGAAAAAAAAAATCCTGGTGATGTAAGGATGAACTGGGCCCATTTCGCATCCTGGTGGATGTTTTCCGTGTCCCGATCTGCAGCAGCCCCAGTTTTCCCTGAAGTCATCTATTCCTTTAGGAGGGAGCTTTCCAGCCCAGCTACCCTGCCCGTCTCCCGCCTAACCTGGCCTGCTTTCAGTGCTAAGCCGGGGCTGGGTCTGGCGCTGATAACACATTCTTTCAACAGGAAGTGCCTCCATTTTCAGTTGTCTGTGGGAGGGTGGAGGGCAGATAAGCCGTGAATGGAAACACAGAGCACATTTCTGCTCCACCCTCATGTTGCACTTTGATCAGAGAGAGCAAGGACCTCCGCCTGGCCCCAGCTGCCTGCGGAAAGGAGGGAAGGATGGTTAAGCTGTGGGCATTCCGAAGCGCTTTCCTCCACTTTTGTTCAGGAACGTTTGTTTAGGTTGGTTTAGCTTCGTGAAGTGCCTGCTTTTGCTGTGTTGAGATACCTGCGATCCGAACTGAAGTCCTTTGAAGGATTGAGTTAGATGTGGGAAAATATATTAACCAATTGAAATTTATTATGTTTTTTGTGTGTCTGTTGGGTCCAGGGTCATCATAAATTTCCTCCGATTTTTTTGCCCCCAATTATGCTGATTCTCAATAGGTAGCTCTTAAATATCACCAGTAGGGAAAAGGGACTTAAGGTGCACCATGGTATGACAAGCCAGGTTTCTTTTTTTTCTTTTTTGAGACAGAGTCTCGCTTTTGTTGCCCGGGCTAGAGTGAGTGCCGTGGCGTCATCCTAGCTCACGGCAACCTCAAACTCCTGTGCTCAAGCGATCCTTCTGCCTCAGCCTCCCGAGTAGCTGGGACTACAGGCATGTGCCACCATGCCTGGCTAATTTTTTCTATATATTTTTAGTTGTCCGATTAATTTCTTTCTATTTTTAGTAGAGACGGGGTCTCGCTCTTGCTCAGGCTGGTTTCGAACTCCTGAGCTCAAACAATCCGCCCGCCTCGGCCTCCCAGAGTGCTAGGATTACAGGTGTGAGCCACCACGCCCCAAGCCAGGTTTCTTAAGGAGGGTGGTGGTGCCAATTCTAAACTCCTATGGTTAGAATACCAGTTTTGAGAGCTTAAGTTACCCTGATGCATTGAGGTAATGTGTTCAGCGTTTAAACTTGTACAGAGCAGCATGTTTCACATGTGCGTGGCTGGCCATGTGTGTTTCTGGTACTAACATTTTCTGTTCAGCCCCAAAGTTAAATTTTACTGTGCCATGCAATTATTCACAGAAAAATATCCAAAGAAAGGTATAGTTGGCTAACAGGCTTGCCCTGTTGGTTGGTCCTCTGTATCCCACCCCCTTCTGGGGACTTTAGTAATGTGCATGGATAAATTGTAATTATGACATAGAATTTATGCTTTGGTGTTTTTCACTTAACATTGTATTATAGGATTTTTCCCATTTTGCTACATAATCTTGTTATTTTTAATAATTGCATAATAATTCATTGAGCGGATGTGCCCTCCTTTTCCAAGCCATTCCCGTATTATTAGACATGAGATTGTTTCCATGGTTTCCACTATTATCAAGGAACCCTGCAATGGATGGCTTCCTTTGTGGAGCCTTTCCCTTCTTTTGAATTATTTCCTTATAATACATTTCCAAAAGTGAAATTATAGGGCTAAGCAGGGTCTAAACTTCTAGATGGCTCTAGACATAGTGGCTGACTGCCCTTTGGAAGGCATGTGTACCAGAATATAGCTACACCAGTCGTGGGTGAAGGGACCGGTGTTACCACTTAACAACAGCCTTTTGTTGTATCACACATTTTTTTCTTTGCAGTATTTCATGTTTAAATATTTTTCTATCCCCATGTAAAAATCAGGCTGTCAAGGCTGTCCCATTTTATTCTGACAGACTCGACCGGTTTTAATTGCAAATGAGCTGGTATTTTTTCAGGAGCACACCACTCCTGTCGTTGGGGTTTGTCTGTCCTTTGACAGTAGGACTCTTGGCGTGCCATATAGCTGAACATTTTGAATGAAAAAAGAAGACAGGAGTTATTTCAACCAATGGCTCTTGGGATTATTGCTTAGGTGTAAGAATAGTATTCAAGGTATTGAGATTTCTTTAACGTGGCTGGTTTGAAAAAGGGCCAGTGAGCCTTTTGATTGGCTGTGGAAGTGTCTTGGTTTCTCTTTATGAAGAGCTGTCAGTGACAGCTTCAAAGGGGTCATACTGGAGGCAGTTGTCATTTAGCTTAGACTGAAGAATGGGCTGAAGAATGAATGGAGGAGAATAAAATGGGTCCTGGCATCTAACCCTTAACAATAATAATAAAATAACAAGAGTAGCCCACACTTAGGAAGTCTTTATTCTTAAACACTGTCACAAGGGCTGTACATATATTAGCTAATTCGATTCTCACAACAACCTTATGACATAGGTGCCTCTTTTTATTTCCATTTTATAGGTGAGGAAACTGAGGCACACAAAGTTTTATGTCAAGCCTTCTAGTTTACCTCTCCCACACGGTCTTTCTTCACTCCTTTGATTAATAATGTTCCGTTTCGGCTGGCGTTTCTTCTGAACAGGCCAGGTCACCGCCTCTCCACGTCCTGCCTGCCTCTCATTTCAGGCACCCTTTTCTCGCCAATAACAACAGCTTCCCTTTCTGGAATGTTTAACATGGCAAGGCATCGTGCTGACGCTTCTGCAAACATTAGCTCATTTAATTGTCACGACCATACCTGAGGTAGGTAATGTGATGAGCAGTGCACAGAGGAGGAGACTCAGGAGGTGACAGAGCCGGGATAGGACTTCAGAGCCCAGGCTTGTCCCCACCATGCAGGCTGCCTTGCGCCCTTGCCCAGGACTCCTTGCCCTTCTGCAATTCCTTTTCTGACTCTTGCTCCACCTCCCTGTCTCATTCGCAATGGGCAGCTGAACATCCTACTTTCCAGCAGGTGTGTGTCCTGGCTCCCACCTACCCGGGAGCTCCTCAGGCGCAATGACGAGCTCAGGCTGGTAGCTCTGGTCTCTGGCTCTCAGTTGCTGCTTTGAGAATGTTTCTTGTTGGTGGTGGTCGTGACAGACCCTTTTGCTGTCTCAGCACCTCCTGGCCATTTGAGGTGGCTGCTTCCTGAGCCAGCCTGGGCACCCTCTGCATTTTAGAAAGTGACACTTGCCTGTGGCGAAGTCACATTTAGTCAGATACATGCAGATGTGCCTTTTTTGGAGTAGGCAGATCAATGCAAAGTTGGCTGACATAAATCGTTAAAAGGGAACTCACTCTTCCAATTGTATAATAGTTCCTTTCTAAAACAAACAATTTACCCTTTCGTTTATTTCTTCGAAGGTTAAATCTGGATCCACACCGGATTTGCTTATAGTGGAGGTTCTGGAATTAAGGGCTAAAGTTAATCACCATGTTTATAAGTATGACCAAATGTATAGCATTCTGTTGGCTTGATGGGATTATTTCAGCTATTTCAAAATTTTCACAAGAATCCATTTTCAACTTCAGACATCTCAATGCTTTTGTGAAATTTGCTTTTTTATGCACCAAAAGCCCTCAGTTTAAACCTTTATATTTGTGTTATTTAAACACGAGTTTGGGGCTGCTATTGTTGCTGGATTTTCATAAACCCTAATTTTTGCCAGGAAAGAGAAGGACTGGTTGCCCGTGGGGGGGTCAGGCGTGGGCTGTCCAGTTGGGGAGAAGTTTGGATGGGCGATTCCATCTGCTGGGTTTGCTCTCCTGAAGCTCTGCCTCCCAGCTTCATGCAGTTGTTGTGAGGGTTAAGGAGCAAAGCAGATCTTGTTGGAAAAAGGAGTAGGGTAGGACCACATTTACTCCCCGGCCTTGAAGGCTCAGGACGTCCATTCGGTGCCCTGTGACATCGACACGGCCAGATAAATGGCTGCTTTCAGGATTTAATGGGATTGTGTGGTACAAAAGAAATTCCTTGAAAAACACAAAATATTCTCTCTCTGCCAAATAACAAGGATTCAGCAACTTATGGAATGGAACTCTGAAAGCCTGGAGAAATAAGGGGGATTCTGAGCTTTCAGAAGGAAAAGGGGGATGAAAAAGTACACGATTATGGCTAGACTTTTCAGAACGTCTTTCAAAAGCAAACGTTTTTCCAAACTGTAGTCTAAACAGATTTTAGTTATTTTGGTTTGATTCTACTAAATTATGTAATGTTTTGTATTTGGCCTTGTTTGTTTGGATGGAAGGAATGAATGAAACGGGGGAAAGGTGAACTTGTGCTTCCAGAAATATTAATAATTGCCACATCCTGACAGAGGACGTTAGCATTTTCTTTATAATGTGTTTCAAACATGGCCTGTTCTTATAGAGAATTAAGGTAAATGAGGTAGATATTAAAACGGGTATATGTGTGGGTTTATTTTCCATGAAGTCAGTGCTCAAAAATGTCATTTATCAGTGAACGCTGAACTGTGTAGCTTTCCCTTTTAGACTTTGACATCATCGCTAAGCCTGATGGCTGTGTTGTGTGTGTGTGTGTGTGTGTGTGTATGCAGTGCTCTGCATTTTCTCGTTTGAAATGATTAGATTGTGGGTGCATTATTAAGGCCCATTTATGTACGAGGTGTGGTTTGTTTCACTGTCAGAGATCTTAGAGTTCGGGCACTTCTTTATAAAGAGGATTCCTCCGGTTCCCCTTTCCTTTGTCCAGTTCCGCATCTGCCGGTGGTTACTGCCATGAGTTCTAAAGTTTCTAAGAGTTTAAGTGGCCAGGGTCGGGTCAGTGGCACTGCGCAACACAGGGAACAGCTCCTGCTTGCTGGGTCCGGGAGCAGTAATGCTGACTTCGCTTCTTTTTCACTGGGGACTCCCGGGAGCAGCTTGGGCCTTGCTGCACCGACCATTTGTTCCCTGTGTTTACCTAGCAGGAGTGTAACCATCTCTCCCCTTCTCTTCTCTCTGCCCCTGTTTTTTCTGCCAGGCCGGTGCCCCGGTGATGTCCGGTGCGGGAGAGAGCACCAACCCCGAGAACAGCGAGCTCAAGTATTCAGGTCAGGACGGGCTCTACATAGGCGTCAGTCTGGCCTCACCGGCCGAAGTCACATCCTCTGTGCGACAGGATTCCTGGTGCGCCCTGGCCCTGGCCTGAGCCCACGCTGCCAGGAGGCGGGGAGGGCTCCGCCGAGGGCCTCGCTGCAGTTGGGTCTGATTTTGTCCAGCAGTCCAGACAGTGGCGACTGTGCTGACAGAATGTGATTTTTGTGCCTTTATTTTGAAAGAGATGTATTTCCCAAGAGGCTTGCTGAACAGCAAGAGAAGATGGAGCTGTTCCCTGGAAGGGCCAGAGAAACAGCATGTCACCTCCTCCCTCCAGCCAGGGCCACATCCAGCCAGCCCACCTGCGGGTCACCCTGGGGCCACTTCCAGAAACCTGGACAAGGACCAGGGTCTTGCCTGCTAAGGACTATTGAGAGAGATGTTTTTTTGAAAAAGATTTTATATGTATTGCCCCAATCATGTACTTCTTCTGATCGATGTTGTCTATTCCAGAGTTTCTTCGTACCTTTTCCACATCCAAATTTCACATGCATTCACGGAGAAGATCGTTTGAGGCCATTTGGTACACATCTCTGGAGGCTGAGTCTGTGCATGAGGTCTCTTGTCAAGAATATCACTCAGTGTGTGAGACTGCATTGTAACTGTAACGTACACTGTGCCTGAGGTTTCTCGAAGTTCGCGTCGGGTGACTGATCTGAAGCCAGTCGGGATTTGTAAACAGGGTAGCGAGCGAGATACTTTTCTTCCATGTATACAATAATTTTTTTAAAAAGTGCAATTTGCGTTGCAGCAATCAGTGTTAAATCATTTGCATAAGATTTAACAGCATTTTTTATAATGAATGTAAACATTTAACTTAATGGTACTTAAAATAATTTAAAAGAGAAATGTTAACTTAGACATTCTTATGCTTCTTTTACAACTACATCCCATTTCTATATTTCCAATTGTTAAAGAAAAATATTTCAAGAACAAATCTTCTCTCAGGAAAATTCCCTTTCTCCATTTGTTAAGAATTTTTATACAAGAACACCAACATACGCCGTTTATTTTACTGTGGAATACATGCTGGAAAAATTGCAACAAAACTTTACTACCTAATGGATAGCATTTGTAAATACTCTAGGCATCTGTAAACACTCTGATGAAGTCTGTACAGTATGACTAACCCACAGGCAGGTTGGTTTACATTAATTTTTTTTAAAATGGGATGTCATATGGAAACCTATTTCACCAGAGTTTTAAAAATAAAAAGGGTATTGTTTTGTCTTCTGTACAGTGAGTTCCTTCCCTTTTAGCTTCATTTTGATTCTGTATGTGGCTATAGATATTCATATAAGACAAGTGCATGTGAGTTTACAAATTGCTTCCTTCCAAAACATTGCCCTTTTGGAGCTATTTTATACCTTTTATATCTTGGTTTATTTGAAGTTGCTACACGGAGCTAGTTATCACTTTCCATTTGCATTGGGGGCAATTTTATAAGTGGAAAGGAACCAGTGTTATTTGACTTTATCTGAGATTATAAGCATTCTGTTTCGGATCAAAACATTTTAGAAAACCCAGATTTTCTTTTCTTGTGAATAAAATACACTCCGCGGCCCAAGAACAGAACGGTTTCCTTTCTAGTTCCTTCCTTTTGCAAAGTGCCATGAAGCCTCAAAACTCATCAGAGGTTGCAGACTTTCCATTCCCCAGAAGATACGTAGAAATGATTTGAACAGCCCAGCCTCTTCGTGTTCTCTTCATTGTTGGGTGGATTTCAGGAAATCAGGAGGCTGTTTCACAACGTGAAATGGTGACGTTTAACTCTGCCTCCCCAAGCGTGCAGCATGTTTATTTCTTTTCATGTACTTACTACTGCCATTCTACAGGGGTTCGGTCTGAGTCTTTCAAGAGAAGAGACGTCTCCCTCGGTGGTGGATGCCTCTCTGTGAATGGGCGGTGTCGGATGCTGGACTCAGGGCCGATGCGTTTCTGTCTGGGGAATTCAGTGACGCCCACATGCACCTGATATCGAACGCTGGGCTAACAGTGGTTAAGAGTGCTGGGTGCGCAGTGGGACCGCTGGGCTTGAAGTCCCTGCTTGGCCATGGATGAGCTCTGTGACCTTGAGCAAGTTATCCAACGCTCATTCTCCTGATCTGTAAAATATGGCAAATAATCTATAAGTCTCATAGGCTTAAATGAGATAATCCATACAAAGTGCTTAGCACAGAGTAAGCGTTAAGTGTTAACTTGATGTTAAAAAGAGTGTGGCATGAGCTGTTACAACATGGGTGATTTGAATAACGTCTTGCTCCCTACACTGTCAGAAGGTTATTGTCTGTGAGAGTCTGGTGTCTCTTGGTCACCTGTGCTTTCTGAAGAAGGCTGAGGAGGGTGAAATGAGTGACTCCCCCCACCCCAGGGGGTGGCAGAGCTGGAGGGAGGATGTGTGAAAGGTACCAGTCTGACCTGGGCTAATTGTTTTACAGAACA